TGCTTGTCTGTTCTGTTTGTGTTTCTAATCAGGTGCATGCAGTATTTGAATTTTCAAAATGTCACCAGGAAGCGTCTGAGCAGTGGGATTTCAAACGCATTTTGTCTTCTTCCATGTGCTTTTAGATGTGAGTGCACCGGTCTATCACCAGACTCAAGGTTTGTCCGTGTTTGGGACAAACAGAACCTTTGCTACCCTGGGGATAAAGTCCAGTCTCCTGGCAGTACCCAGCAAGATGCTTGGCGCCAGCTGTTGCTTCTCCTGCAGACGCCCCCTCTCTCCTTACTTCTGGGCAGCGCACTATGCCCAAGCACACCACCTTCCCAGGCACCCAACCCCCCTGACCCTAGCTTCCCTCTGGGCCTTTGTCCATGTGGTTCCTTCTCCCTGAACACTCTTACCACTCCCGACAGCCCTGGAATTTTAACTTATCCTTCAGTTCGCTGGTGGTGTAGTAGTTGTGTGTTGGGCTGCTAACTATAAGGTCAGCAGTTCAAAACCACCAACCACATCACAGGAGAAAGATGAGGCTTTCTACTCCTGTAAAGTTACATTCTTGGAAACCCACAGGGGCTGTTCTACTCCATCCCATTGGGTCGCTGTGAGTTGGAAATGACTCGATGGCAGTGTTTGTTTGGTTTTTTTTTTGAGTTTTTCAGCTCACTGTCCATTCCCTTCCTACTCCTCACCCTGGACAAGTCATTGTTCTGGTTCTCCCTGGCTCCCCAGCACCCTGGCCTCCCCTCCCCACGGCAACACTCTTGTGCATTTTACTCTGCTTCCCTCTCCAGCTTGAAGAGCCTTGAAGAGAAGCACTGGCCTGGCTCCCTGCGGATGGCCCATGCCGTGGCTGAGACTTCAAAATCACAGATGATGACAGAGCTGAATGAATGACAGCTGGGTCCCCAGGATTATCTGTGAACAGGCCAGAATGGAGTGGGGGTCCTAGGCCTGGCCTCAGACTCCGAGGCTGGTGGAAGCAGATGCAGCAGCCAGCAGCCAGCAGCTGGGCCGCCCGTGCGGCTCCACGGTGGCTTTCATTTCCTCTCCTGCGATGCCAAGGCCCTGAACAAATATTTTCCTGGAGTGGAGGAACGGCTCAGCTCCCAGCCTTTAAGTGCTGGAAACGCTGGCTGGGCCGGGCAGGTTCCAGGAACCCACAGAAGCTTGGGGTCTGGCTGCAGAGAGGGAGGGCGGTCATCAGGGCTGGGCGGTGCCCTCCTCCTGGGCTGTCTGAGTGGGCAGGGTCCACCTTCCCCAGCAGGCCTAAGGAAGCCGTCAGCTTGCTCTGTGCAGCACGCAGCTCTGGGCAGCTGTTGCCCTGGGCCTCTCTGCCCATACATTACAATCCTCTGAAGAAAACGTGGGCCCTGTGGGCCTCCCTCTTTGTAGCTGAACAAAGTTACAGTGAGGTTTGAAAGAGCTTCTTAGACTCTCCGAAGCTCTTTGAAGAGCCTCCCCACCACTGGCTTTCTTATTGAGGAATAACATCCTGAGTCCACGCATGCTAAGTGCTGAGCTTGATTTATTGACACGGGCATACATCCTTGTCATCACCACCACATCAAGGATTGCCAGCACCGCAGGTGCCCTCACAGCCCACACCCAACCACGGCTTCCCTTGCTCCTGATTCGTTAATTCTGCCTGCCCCTGAGCTTCACAGCCGGGGCAGCATCCTGTGGGGTGTGGGCTGGGTGTCTGGCTCCTTGCACTAGCTAGTCATGAGCTTCACAGCCGGGGCAGCGTCCTGTGGGGTGTGGGCTGGGCGGCTAGCTCCTTGCACTAGCTAGCCCTCTAGGTTGTGGTGGACCCAGCAGTCACTGTGCAGTCAGACTCCCTCGTAGGAAAGCTACGATAACAAAAAAACAACTCGCAGCCACCGAGTTGACTCTGATTCATAGCCACCCCATCGGCCAGCGTAGAACTGCCCTTGTGGGTTTTCCAACCTGGGAACTCTTTTTAGAAGTAGAAAGCCTCGTCTGTCTCCCGAGGAGCAGCTGGTGGTTTCGAACGACCAACTGACTCGACAGTTAGCAGCCCAACGGGTAAGCACGACACCACCAGGGCTTCCCACTGAAGACCACCTCCTCCACAGACCAGACACTTGGTTATTGGCAAGCTGCTGTAAGCATTCGTAGGCTCTCTGGTCAGGGCTCCAGGATGGAGGGCTGGGGTGGGTGCAGGAGTCAGGGAGTGAGGAGAATGGAAAGAGTTGTGGGGGTTCTTCCCAGCTCCAAGCTAAGCTGGGCAGGGGCAAATGCTGCAGCTCACTGCATCCCGGGGTGGGGGCGCACCAGAAACTCCCTGGTGGGGTCCCTCCCACCTAGCTCCTGTTCATTCAGCTCTCTGCCCACCTCCCTCATTCACCCCGTGAGGACAGTGAGTGGGATTTCGGGAGGGGAGAGGTGGAATCCTGGTCTGGGCCCGCCCTCCGTTGCCCCTTGCAGGCCTGTGGTTGTTGTCAGGTTCCCGCGTGTTGGTCTCACCGCACACTGACCCCGTGTGACACAGCAGAACTCTCCCACTGCACCTTCTTGGCTGGAATCTTTCCAGAAGCCCAGCGCCGGGTCTTGCTCCCAGAGCTGCTGCGTGAGTTCAAACGGCCTGCTGGACCGTCTGAGCCAACTGGGCTCCTTTTAAAATGGTGAAAAACTGCAGACCCATTTGAAAGCAGGCTCTTCTTCCTCTTCCCAATGCTGTGGGGAGGCCTGCCCACCATCACTGCTTAACCAGGGAGGAAGGCGAGAGATTCCCCCAGCCTGGGACCACTGGCCCTTCTGCCCTCATCAGCCCCCACCCACCCTTGACCACCCACTGGGAGGACAGCCTTCTCGTTCCGCTCGACCGAAGCACATGCACCCAGGGGAGAGTGAAGTGGGGGAGCGAGCTCACAGGTCCTGTCAGTGTTACCCCAAGCCCACCTCCTCCTCTCCATCCTGGCCAGCATGTCTTCTCCGATCCCGAAAGCAGAACGGGTGCTGGGTCTCCGGTTTCTCACCCTCTGCAATGCCTCACTGTTCTTAATCTGCTTCCGGGCCTTCGGTAGTCACCATATTCCCTCGGCATCCCTCTCCACGGCCCCCTCCCTTCACGTAGGGCACGCAGCTGCCTGTCTTCACCGCTGATTAAGGGGCCTGGTGGCAGAGGGTTACCTATGGGGCTAACTGCAAGGTCCGTGGTTCAAGCCCAACAGCCACTCCTGGGGAGGAAGACGGGGCTTTCTACCCCGGTGGAGAGTTGTAGCCTCAGAAACCCTGTCCAATAGGGTGCGGCAAGTCAACATTGAGTCTGGAGTTGGCAGAGGCGTGTTCTCCACCTGGAAGGCCTCCTCTCTTGATGGATGAGAGACTAATTTGACTTCCTCCTTCCAGATCCTGGTCAAGTACCATCCCAGGACCCAGACCCCAACCAACCCCTCCCACCAGCACTGTCACGGAGACTGCCCTGGTCCTAGTCCACGCCCTTCTCAGCCATCCCGAGGGCAGGGCTGCCCACCCTGCTTCCTGACGTGGAGATGTCCCAGTATCTGGAGCCAACCCTCAGGGCAAGCCAGGCAAAAATGCCATCTCAGACTGGCTGCAAAACAAAACCGGGGCCAACGATGGCTCCTTCCTCAGAAGATGACTTGCGAGTACTCGGTGCGAACGTCAGTGCATGCCCTGCTCCCCCTGCCTCTCTCACACCTGAGCACCTTGGGGTGGGGAGGGGCGTCCTGGGAACGTGAAAGGGGGCCAAGGCTGCGGGGAAGCAGCGCGGTGGTCGGGGACTGAGGAGATGGGCAGCAGCGCATTCCGTGGCAGGCAGGGGTGCTCGCGGGAACAGAGGTTTCAGCAACTTTGCACGTTTGCTTCCTTCGCCATGAATCTAGGTCTTCAGTGAAGTGCTGAGGCACAATCCTGGCAGTGCCCTGGCAAGGAAGCCAGGAGGAGGAAGGGAAGTGGGCAGAGCCAGAGAGCAGCGGTGGTCACGATGAGTCTGGATGGGACCGTTTCATCCACTATGATGTTATGGGAAGTGGTGGCCTGCAGGCTGGGACTCTGAACTTTCGGGTCACCCATGGAGGGCACTTTCCCCAGTTCCTCTTACCACCACTAGTGCAATAGTAAGCAAGGCTTTATTGTGATCCCAGGGCCCATGCCCACCTCCCCCCCGGCCCCCCCCACTACTGAATGGCATGGACAACAGGCGTCCCTTTTGTCAGTTTGCAATGAGTGTTGGTGTTGGTCCAGACGTCAATGACAGGTGGATCATGTTTAACTGTGCTAAGTACAGTAAAAGCACTTCTATAAACAGGCAAGAACATTCATTTGTTCACTGGATGGATGAATGAATGATTGGGAGGATTTTTTCTCAGCCCCCAAAACCTGTGGAGTACATGTCAGGGGAGAATAAAATTCTCCACCTGAGAAGATGCCCTGACCTGGTAGTGTCTGCCCGGAGCACACCTGAGGTTCCGTGTCAGGGCCTGACCTGCATTTGGGGACAGAGAGTGGGCAAGACACTGGGGACCCAGTTGGAAGGACGTGCCAGAGCACTGGCAGCCCGGAAAAAGCTTTGAGTAAGAGGAGAGCCACTCAATGCCCTCCAAACCCAGGGGCGTCTTTGCAGCCACCCGTTTGTCAGCGGACTTCCTCCCTCACCTATAGAGGACGTGCTTTAGAATGTTGGCACCTGGCAGTGTCTGCTAGTGAATCCTTAGGCGCTGCACAATGAACGAGCAGAACAGAGGGCACACTGAGTCAGTAGGTAGGACCAACATAGCACAGATTCAGGAGGGAGCCACGGTGCGTCCGGGGAATGGAATGCTGCCAGGCTGCTCAGGAAGGGCAGGTAGGAGGGAGGAGGTCTGGGTCAAGGCTTTGGTGAGCAGGGCAAAAACGGACTCCCTTCCAGTGAAGGCCCCAATGATAATCTCTCGGCTCTTCACCAAGCTAGTGCGCGCAGATGAGCCCCCAACAGCCACCTCTGTGCCTACAAGAGACTCACGGGCACCAGCATCTGTTGCCAGAAATGACAAGTACCGTTTATTAGTTACACGATGGGCCCAGCCAGCGGCCTGGCATCACCCCTTAGAGGCCAGCAGATGAGCACTGGCACGTCCCCTGCGCCTCGCTCACGTCCTGTCACATGCTCTGGTCAGAAAGTCCCAGGATTGAACGCAGGACATGGGTTCCGCTGCTGGACGGTGCATCTGAGTCACTCAACAGAGAAGCTGATGGGGCAGCTGGAGGGCTGTCAAATTAAATAAGCAAGGGCAGAGATCCCCAGGAGCCCCCGGTGGAATCCGCTGGAGCAGGGCATGGAGGACTGTCCACAACTTGGGTTGAGAGGCTGGCCTTGGCTCCAGGCCTCTGCCAGGGCCAGCAGCCTCGGGTCAAGCTGTGCCAGGGCCCTCTCAGCTTCGTGAGCCCTTCAGAAGGTGTCTGCTTCGAGCTTGGCAACACAGAAATTTACATCGGCCCTTAGATAAGCCTCGGCTGAACCTCCCGGCCTCTAGAAAAACCTGCAGCCTGTAGCCGAAGCAGAAAACAAACCAAACCAAACACAAAGCAGCGGACTCTGGACCGGAGTCGCTCATCACAGGAAGGATGAAGGCACAGAGATTGGTCGCCGCCTCTCCAAACACCGCGGTGTTCACAAACAAGGGCCGGTCTCGGTCCACACAACCCGTGCAGCGAGAGAAGCAGCAAAGGCAACAGAGTCCACGTGGCTACTTTATATTAAAGGTTCCTACATGTGGAAGATCTGCCGACCAGGGAAAAGCCCACGGGATTAAGTGCAGCTTTGCCAAAAGCAAGACTATCACTCTTTGGAAACAATGCTGTCCCACCCCTCCCACAGCTCAGGGCAGGGCCCCTGGAGCTGAGCCTCAGAAGCCTGGTTGTTCCTGAGGAGCAGGATCAGGTGTTCCTGAGATCCCTCTTACCAGGTTCCAGGGCAAAGCACCCCACAGAGCTGGCCCCGACTGAGAGAAAGGTCCTGTCTTGGCCTCATGCGCGCTTGACAGTTCTCTCAGACCTGGACCCTGAGCCACCAGGGTCCAGTTCCCACCCTGGACTCCCCCCCAACCTCCCAGCAGCCCAGGTCCCGGCCATAGCGGGGCAGATTCCACACACAGCTTGGCCACTCAGGAGATTGCCTCATGGCAGCCTAGGTTGGTCGGCCGGCTAAACAGAAATTCTGTACCCTGTTGCGCATGGGAGTGTCCGATTCAGAAACCACATACCAAGAGCCTATATCCTGGCCTCCAGATTTGGTTCTCCTAGTTTAAAAAAAAATTTTTTTTAAGTCTTTTAACCCTGATGCTGTCTCGTGATGATAGATTAGGGAAGCCAGATGGGGGACACATCACCATCCACTCACGTCACTGACCTCGGAAGTAGCAAAGTCTACGGGGGGCTACAAAGAAACTAGAGGAAATATGTGCAAAAACGAGTTGATATCTAAATTAAACATCCCCACAAAACAAAGTGAATGCTGAGAGTCCTGGACGCCTACCCCTGCCACTTGGTGGTGAGCACCCAAAGGCGGCTGGCCTGTACCGGTAAGTGCTATGGAAGCATCAGCCAGCGCCCTCCCCACGGGAACCTTCCAGCTAGGGCAGCCCATCCAGGGCCAAGGCCACCGCGTCCCCTTTCTCTTGTGGGCTGGGGAGGGGCTGCTCCAGTTTGGAGAAACTGAGTCAGAACGGTGAGGGGCCAAGTCAGAAAGGTCAAACGCAAGAAACCCCCTGTGCAGGCTCAAGTCTGTCAGCAGAAGTCAGAGAAGCGAGCAGGACTCCCCAGCACCCCCTCACCCCGACTTCTCCAGGCAGAGTGCAGGCTGGGGAGGTGGCCTGGTGTCACGGGAGGTCAAGGCCTGCAAGTTCTTCACAGAAGAGGCAAGTGGGGGCCTGGTGAGTGGCAGTGGGGAGGGGAAGACAGATGGGGGTCTCCCGTCAGGCGTAGAACTCCTCCTGCTTGGTGGGCTTCTGGTAGGCCCCGCCGTTGGCTTGCTTTGGCTCTTCCAAGGAGTAGCTACCCTCATCTTTCTTCTTCATGCGGTACAGCATGAAGCCCACCAGGCACACGGCAAAGATGAGCCCCACCAGGCCTCCAGCGATGACCCCTAGGCAGGCAGAAGGCACCGTAGCTTAGCTGTTGGGGGCCCTCAGCAGGAGCCCCTCCCTCTCTTACTAAGCAGCCCAATGAGGCAGCCCAGGCTAGTTTGGGGGGGGGGGCGGTGCCACTCTGAGACTGAAGGCCGCCCACCCAGAATGACACAGCACCCTTTCCTCACCCGCTTGAGGGAACAACTCACCACCCAGCACTTCCTTCCTGTCCAGGAGGCCCTGTGAGGCTCCTGTGGTCCCCTTATCCATCGGGGGCTGGTTCCGAAGCTCAGACTCCACGGTAGCCCCAACTGTGTTGTCCCCAGTGGTTTCAAAGATGAAGTCCTACGGGAGGAAAGGGCAGGATCAGGTGGGGGTGGGGGAGGGGCAACCCCGAGCAGCAACCAGTTCCATACACACCCAGCCCCGGGTCTCCCTTTACAGTCCAGCCCCGCTGGTTCTGGCTAAACAGTGCCGGAGCGCACGCCAAGCATACTTTTTATACTAGAACAAACAGGCCTGTCTTAGCAGAAAGTGTCAGACGGGGTAGAGCTTTCACTCTCGCAGCAGGGGTCTCACACAAGCTTGGGAAGCTGCGTTTTGGGTGATCTTTAAGGATTTATGATAGGTTGAATTGTGTGCATCCCCCTCTGCCCTCTTAAAAAAAAAAAGTGTTGGGGTCCCAACTGTGGGCCTTTGTGAACACGACCTGGCTTGGTAACAGGGTCTTGGCAGATGTCAATGATGACATTCACCCTAGGAGACGCAGCATCCTCCTAAGAGACACAGGAAAGACGTCATGTGCCGATGAAGGCAGAAACTGTGGGGAGTGACACATTCCCAGTCACGGAGGGCCAGGAACAAGCCAGGAGCTGGGAAGAGGCGATGAAGGCTCTTTCCTGGGAAAAGATTGTCTGCAGACATGGAGCCTCCAGAAGGAAGAGACCAGAAAAGTGACTCCTACCTCGTTTGTGCCACTCTGCAAACGAAGGAAGCTAGGAAACACAGACAAGAATGGTCTCTTACTTCGTCCGCGCTGCCCCTGGCCTAAAGAAGCCCGGTGGCACAATGGTTAAAGCTCTTGGCTGCTGACCCAATGGTCAATGGTCAGGCAATTCAACCTGCCACTAGCTGGTCCTCAGGAGAACCACGTGGCAGTGTACTTTTGCTAAAATCCACAGCCCCCAAACCCACAGGAGCAGTTTACCCTGTCTTGTAAGTTGGAATGGGCCAGACAGCAGTGCCCGGGTCTGGTCTAGCAAGGCCCAAAGGTAGCACGTGAGCCAGGACCTCGTGACCTTACCTTCTCTGTGGGGGCTAAGATGTGCTCATAGGGCAGAGGATGCTGGACTTGCCTGATAATGCCAACCGTCCCCCCGCCCTTCGCCCCAACCCCACCAGCATGCATTGTGCTCAACAGGCACCGAGGCCAACCCACGTCCTGGGAAACACACAGGTCAGGGAGAGGCAGGTGCTCACCTGCTCCCCAGAGCCCTCTCCCACTGGGAGCTGACTGGAGGCTGCCTCCTCAGCAGCAATCTGGGTAGCCAAGGGGCCTCCTTCCTCCTGGCTGGGAGCATCAGGGTCCAAGTGGCTGCGTCCTGTGGGAGCGGAGGTCTCATGGTGGCCAGGCTGCCTATCCCTGGGGGGCTCAGTTGTGGCAGGGGCCTGGGCTGTGCTGGCTCTTGCTGTTGAGATCCGGTGGGTGGCTGGGTGCTGGGTGATGTCGCTGGGTGGGTGGGAGGCCTCCACCTCTGCCAGGTGCACTGATCCCCCCTCCCCAGGCCTCTGTGGAGCAGGGAGTATGGAGGTGGCCTGGGCTTCTCTGCCGGTGGGCTCGGGAGCTGTAGGCACCGACGTCGTCGTCGTAGTCAGCAGCCGCATGTCCTTCCCGATGGAGGGAGTCAGATGGGCCAAGCTGACATCTTGCAAGGCACCTGCAGGGTCAGAAGCAAAGCGTATTGGAATGGGAGTCGCACTGCACAGCTGGGCTGGCAAGGGGGCATGAGAGCGGCAGGTGCCTGGGTGAGGTCCCTCACCAGCTAGCAAGGAGAACACTCCCCGCCCCAAGGAGCTGTGTCTACTGGGGCCAAACCGGACTGCGGTGAAAGGACTTTGGAGATGGACAAGGGAAGCCCTGATCTTGGGGACCACAAGACAGATACCAAGGTTAGCAAGCCTGTCCTGTGACCGCTGATGGCCACTCTCTGGGTGGGCGGCATCCTCAGGGTCCTCCAGTGCACACTTGTCTCTGCTTCCCCTCCCCCACCCCCAAAAGGCCTACGCTCTCAAGTCCTGAGGCCTGGAACCTCCTCCTGGTCAGCTCTCACACCTGTGCTGAGGCTACCTTCCCTAGAGAGGGCTCTCACCCCAGGTCCAACTCAAGAGCCACCTCCCCTGAGAGGCCTCCCTGAGCACCTCCCACCCAAAGGGGGCAGAAACAGGAAATGAAGGGGTCCTGGCCAGAGCCTGACACCCCCCACACGGGGCTCTGGGCTGCCTCTCCTGTGTGCCATGAGCTCAGGTTATGACTCCCCTTGAACAGATGAGAAAATAGAGCCTTCGAGATCAGATCCCTTGGTCTGTGTGCAGCCCACAGCCCTGGGGCTTCCTCCTCCCCCAGCAGCAGGGGGCCCACTCCCTGCCCTAGCACTGACCCCTCAGGCCCGGCTGGGGGCCATACACTCAGTGCCCAGTACATGCCCCACCCGTCCCGCCCTCCCAGTGCCAGCCTCACCTGCGCCGGAGCCGGAGAAGCCATCAGAGTCATCCCCAGAGCCGTCCTGGTCTTCGGGGGGCACATTGGTGACCACGGTTTCCTGGAGAGGTGTCAGAAAAGGGTGTGTGAACTTGGGCTTGGCAGTAACCTTGTGGTTGCCGGGACCTCATCCCTCCACAGGAAGGGAGTCCTCCCAGTGGCACCCTGACGAGGATCTGGCAGCCTAAGTGTGTCCCCAGCACACCTGCAGATGCTACAGTAATACTGTGCGGGCCTGGGGAGCAGGACACCCACAGGAGAGCCCAAGGCCACTGGGGAGGAGCCCAGACCTCTCTAAAGGGCCCAGAGAATTACCTGGGTGCATAGGTTGTGGTCCCCTTGTAAGACACCCCACTCACTCCCTACACTGAGACTCATGTCTAGTGGGCCAGTAGCCAGTAACCATGTCGGGGGTCCAAGGTTGCCAACTCTGCCCCACTAAAGGGTTCTTGGGAAGCCCTCAGGAATAATCCTACAGAGGCTAGACCGACCCAAAGGCCCATGATGGACACAAGGGTGAGCTGAGTGTCCTGAGGAGGAGAGCTGGATCTGCCACACCCCGGGGCCCAGGGCTCCTGTCCACACCCAGCCCATCTCCTCGTCCCTCGAGAGGACCCAGCACTCCTCTGGGGAAAGAGGGCAGGGCACCCATGGACCCAGGGTCAGATGGAGAGGCACAGGGAGAGGGGCCGAGAGTCTGACAGGAAAGTTGCAGAGGGCTGGCCCAGGAATGCGGCCCACCCAGCCTGGCTCTGAGAGGCTACAGGTGCTACAGTGCAAATAGATGCCCAGCCCCCAGGCCGGCCTGCACCCAGAGGGGCAGCGAGGGGGCCAAGGCAAGCCTGTGCAGAAACCCTGTGTGGGTGGGATCCAAAAGTCTGGGCCTCCCCAAGACACCCAGCACCACCACCACCACCACCACCACCACCAACCCCCCAGGGCAGCCAAGCTGTGACACCCATAGGGCAATGTAGGCCTCTTGCTAGGGCTCCAGGGTCAGAGGCCAGGGCACAGAAGCACCCAGCTCAGCAGGTGGGCTTCAGAGGCTCACCAAGCTCTCCGGCCCACTCCCTAGTGGAGGGGACCCAGGAACATCACTGAACATTCTGGTCTATTGCCACGGGGCAATAATGAAATGAGGCTTGCACAGGGAACCTCAGAGGCAGGCGGCAGGGCCGATGCTAGTAGCAGAAGGGGCTCTGGTAGCAGAAGGGGCTTGGCCTGGAAGAATAGGAACCTGGGTGTGGAGCACCGCCAGCAGGCCAGTCAGGAGAGAGGGAGGGATGGCAGGGGGCAGGGGGAAGAGATAGGATTTCAGGGGGAGCGCCAGCTCTCCTCTGCACTGACTTGTCGGGAGCAGGGCCTCCCCCGCCCCCAGCCTGAGTCCTGAAGAGGGGTAGGGGTGGGCAAGCAAAGCCTCTGGCCTCCTGGGGCAGCCCTGGGGCAGAGCTGCACCAGGTGGAGGCTCCCACTCCAGGGTCTCCAGCGTCAGAGGGAAGCAGCAGAAAGGGAGAGGCCACAAAATGACACGGAGCTTCCTTTGAAAGTACAGACCCAAACACGGCTCCTCCTCACACCCCCGCAGAGCCAGACTTGCCCCCACTGCATTTCACAGTAGAGCCGGAGCTTGGAGTCTTGACATCTAGACTCCACCCCCCCCACAGGGGGTGTGGCCTGCAGACCCCCGACACCACTTTTCGCCCTGCAAGCACTGCTGAGAGGGTCGGTCCGCCCAGTCCCAGGCCAGCTCCAGGGCCGGCTGGTCTCTCATCTCCAGAGGAATTCCAACAGGCTGAGTTTCCCAGGAGCAAGATAAGCCTCTTGTCAGGTTAGCCCAACCCCAGGCCCTAAGGACAATCTGTCCTCCATCTCTGCAATCTTGTTTGCACAACACGCTCAAATAAAGCAAACCGTCTTCTCTAGGGAAGCCAGCTAGCTGGCATCGGGGGAGCACCTCCCCTCTCAACATCAGGTATCCACCGAGGCTGTGTGACCTCCCGTTGGCCCTCCAGCATCAGCCTCCTGAGAGACAGGAAAGACTTGAGTCCCTGGGGAGAAAATGAGCAGAAACTGCTGATTGGGACAAGCGTGGCGAGCCCAGGTGCCAGCTGACTGGGCTGGGGTTTGGGGTGTGACTTCCAGTTTCATTTAGCAGCTGCTGTGAGAACAGCCGGCAGCAAGCTGCCTCCAAGGCCTCGTGGGGCCCTCCCTCAGCATCGTCACTGGCTCGGGTCCTTCCTGAACTCTCAGCCACTGCTCTGGAATGAGCGAGCAGGGCTGGAGGCCCGTGGGCTCAGCCTCCAGCCCGGCACCCTCCCCAGTGCTGTCCAGAAAAGCAGCCTCACCCCCGCCCCACTTCCATAAACAGCCTGGACCCTGGAATCCCACTGGTGTGAAAGCCCATGGAGATGGGTCAGGGAGCGAGAAGGAAGATCCTGGTCTCCGTCTGGGCCACTCGAGCTCCCACATGGGTAGGAGACACTGGTCAGGGCTCTGGCTGGTGGGAGGATGCAAGGAGCAAGGCTTTCTCTGATGCTGGGGGACACCCCCTTCCATTTCGGCTTCTGCCTGAAGAGCTAGAGTGGCATCTCTGCCAGTCGAAAGGGAATCTCCGCAGGTAAGAGACTTACCCAAGACCAGTGTCTGCACCACTGCAACAAAGCCCTTGCTCTCCTCACCCCCGGCCCCTAAGGACCCTCGGGCCTGGCTGAGCTAACCTCACTGGAAGGAAAACTTGCCCAAGGCTCCTTCGCATCACCACCTGCAGCCTGGGGAAGCTATGGATTGACGAAGACCCGATGGTTGAGGGTGTGGGGGGAAGTCAGATCCTTGCTGCCAGACTGCTGTCTCATCCCACCACAGGGGTGGGCCTGCTCCCTGCTGCTGGAGACAATGGACTACTCTCTGAAGCTTGGGACCATTAGCTTGGTTCCTGTAGGAGGGGTTTGCACCCTACTGATAAGGGTTCCTATGGAGACCCAGAGACCACCCCCTAGACCACCCTCTCATTGCTGTGTAGCCTATAGTGCAATCCCTCCCTGTGACGTATGTCTCTACCTGTAATTAGTGGGCTGGCATGCTCCCAAAAGGTATATAGGCATGGGTCAGCAATATAGAGCGGTCGGACTTCTCTCTCTGACCCTGAGCTCCTTGATGCTCACTCCCTGCTCACTCCCCTCCCTTGTTCCCTTCCCCTCCTTCCCTTCCCCCTCTCTCCACGTGGACCACCAAGCTGGGCTGAGGTGAGCGATGGTATCATGTAATGTGTCTGACTGTATTATTATAATATCTCTCATGCTCTTGATGACTTTAATATAATGCTTATATATCTCAACCGTACAATTGTGCATTACTGAACCCAGAGGTAGTATTACTGAACTCGTAGGAGTAGCAGCGGGTGGGGGCTGGTCCCTCACCCACTCCATCAGCGTCATTATTTTTTAATTTAATACTACATGAGGGTAAAGTCGGCCAGTACACAAAGCTGGCCCAGGTCACTCGGGCACTAAGGGCCTGCGACGACACGCTGCCCCCAGCCATTCCCAAGGAGACTGGGGGCCTGTGCAGAGAAGCTGCAGGAAGGCCGCCTTGTGCCTATCCCGCCAGCCCCTCACCACTGCACTGGTCAGAGGCAGCCTTCCTCGGACACCTCCATCCACTGTTGCCCTGACAACTGGGGCCAAGGGGGTCTGGGTGGATTCTTTCACAGTGCCCGTCCAAGAGGTCCTGAGCACCAAAGCCTGTCGTCAGGGTCACAGGAGAGGTTCAAATGAGGATGGCCAAGCAGGGGCTTCCAGCTCACCAGAATGCCTGTCTGGCCCACCCCCACTCCACCACCCTGTAGCCTAGGGATGCATAGAGGGGGCGGCGTGCGACTAAGGTGTCTCCGAAGCTGAATGATGCATGCAACACATCACGAATCCCTCACAAAACAGTCGTGAACCCCATGCTGCGTGTTCTTGAGTGTTCTCCGTTAACAGGGCCGCTGATGTCACACAGGGTCCTCCAACCCAAAGAGCCAGCAACCACCCACGGGGACAATGGGCAGGGCACAGAATCATGGGTCCACTCCAGGGGTGTCATGGCCCTCTCCTGGGAGCAGCCTGAGGCTGGGGGTGGGGGGCTGCTGAAATGGGGGTCTCCTAGGCCTGGGCCTTGGAGCCCCAGCCAGACACAGAGAGGATAAGCCAAGCCGCACCCCCCAGTCGCTAACTTTGCAGAGCTGAAGGGCTCGTGCTTATAACAGCTTTGGATCGTCAAGTGGGGGTGGAAGGTTTAAATCTCTTCAGGCTGTAACTGAACTGGTGGGGGTGGGAGCAAGGGGAAGGGGCAGCTGGTTCCTGTGGGTAGGCGCCGAGGCATTGAATAAACAAGGCCATTAGTCACAACACCAGCTTTGGGAAAGCAAGGATAAACAGCTGGCCCTTATCAAAGGGCTGGGTCACAGCCTTTGCCAAGCGGCCTCCATCCCTGGCCTTGGCGGTGCCTCTGTGCTGATGGACAGGCAGGCCCCAGCTCTGTCCGGGAGCTCGGGTGCGAGGGTCCAAAGGTCGGTGGGCCCCACTGCACACAGCCCACAGGGTACATGCCCACCACCCAGAGGCCAGCAAGGGCCCTGGGGATGGAGGGGTGGGCTGGGGGGAGTGCTTAGCACAGATTTGTCTTGGCTAGCTCTACAGTGTAAAACTAAGGGAGGCACACTGCTCACCACCCCTCCCCTGCTAGACTTCACCCCTGCTTCAAGGGGTGTCTCCCCAGCTCCACCCAGAGGTCAGCTCACAACTCTGAACCCGTAAGCACCTCGCTGAGCCACCTGGGGGCTGCTGGTGTGGAGTCAAGACCCCCACTCAGGTCTCCGAATAAACGTTTGCAAAGCAGAGCCCCCTCCTCCTGCAGAGGCAAGGTCATTGTATGCGGATATGAGAGGACTCCTTCGGTTCTCGTTCCCCCTACACAAACAGGACATAGGCCCACTGGTCTATGGGGGCCTCAACAGGGGCTGGGGGGAGGCCCTGAACTCCCAGAGGCGCCTGACACCCTCTGCTTCAAGCAGTGGAAGAA